TGTTAAGCATACACAGATAGCAAATACACAAGTATGCTTAGAGTAGAGTCTCAATGATCAAGAACTACCATAGAAAGCATCAAGCTACTCAGAATTAGTCGATGTATCTGAGAGCTTATCTTTGTAAGCACTAGCATCTGCTATCACATGTAATACTTACATGAAATGAATCAAATAGTTCCCATATTCTTAAAAAATACTAGAAATATTTTTAACTTTTCTTGCTGACTCAGCAGCACCACCAAATACGAGGGAACGATCCTGTAACACACAGAAGCCTTTGGGAGCTATTGAGATGTGTGCGGTCACTCACCCTGGCACTAAAAGAAATCAAATGTCACCACTGTTTGCACCCTCGTTTCAGTATTTTACTGTTTCTATCTTTTCTTCCTTGTAGCCTGTCTGCCAGTTCATGGTGATCTCAGGATACCAGTCTGGAACAAACCCTTTCCCAAGCTTCTAACCTGTGCTTCTAGTCTCTGAAAGATGCAAAACAGAAAACTAAGTTCATTAAGGTAACAGAAGACAGAGGTTGGGGATTTAGCTCAGCGGCACAGTACCTGTCTGGCAAGTACAAGGTCGTGAGTTCAGTTCCCGGTACCAGAAAAAAAAAAACCCAAAACAAACAAACAAAAACAAAACAAAACAAAACAAAAAGGTAACAGAAGACAATAGAATAAACAGGTTCTAATTAAAGACCAAAATGCTTTTCCTGCCATGAAGCTTATTTGATGGACTGGGTGACATTTTATAGGCTATTCAGATTGTTTTATTTTGGTTTTGGTTCTCATTTATATTCTGAAACCATAAATTGATAAATAGGTCACATCTGGATAAGTGAAAATTATTACACATTCAGAAAAGGTATATTTACTGCTCTCTTTTTGTGGACTATATCCAATTACAACATGGAAAAAAGATTTTACTATTTTCACCATGTTAGAAAACAGTTTGTAAAAGTATATTAAATCATAACAACACGCTTCTCCATAGTTTCTGAAATATTATAAGAACATGGCACCTTTCACATTAATTATAGCCTATGAAAAGAGGCTGTTCTGATACTACATCATTGGATGTTAACAACACTATGTTCTCTTCCCATAAATAATTACTAATAGTCAGTGTGGCCAGGCTTTACCTGTACAGCTAAGAAGAAATAAGTTTCAGCAAGATGTTGGTATTACCTTTCTCTGTCTTCTTTTGTGAAATAACAGGCGAACTATTGCGGATACTACTTTCCCCCTCTGGGAAGCCCCTCTTGTAGCCCATTCTAACATCATATTGCTCCTCTATCAGAAAAGATTATTTCTGGAAAATTCGTATCCTTCAAAACCTAGTTTAAGTATTTCCCCATCACTGAGGCCTTCCCAGACACCTGAAAAATATACCAAAATTTGTCTATTTTTTTAATGTTCTCCGTAAACTTAGCAAGAGGAAAGAAACCTGCATTTTCAAGGGTAAGAAATTTGAGACTAAGGGTTGGGCACAGTCAAAACTGCGAGGACATTTACAAGTGTATAGCATATTCAGGAAAAACCCATGTTTGCTTTGGCCAGCACATAAAGTATATTTGGGAGAAAATATGGAAAGCCAGAATTTTTAAATAGGAGCCACCACTTTTTCTATTTTAATTCTTACTTTGTACTGGTACATGGTTACCATGCACAATGATTACACTCCTCATGGGGAGTTGGTACAAGTACATAACATATCTTAATTCTTTCTTCCTCCCCTTCCTGCCTCCTCCCTCCATCTCTTGGTTCCATCTTTGCAAACATCTATCTCCCTTCCTCCTATTGCCTATCATTTATTTTGCACTTTGTTTATATTTTAGGCTTTTTATATAAGAGAAAACCATGAAGTTGTACATCACAATAAACTTCACCTTTGTAAGTTAGCAATGGGTCACAAACATAAGTTTTTCTAATATGTTAAAATCGACTTTATTTTTGAGAACAGTGTAGAACATCTGTTAGGGAGGAAGGTGCATTAATATGAGATACTACTAATTAGGACATTGTTGAGATAATATTGGTGGGAGAAGATAAAGGTGGTGGGATAGAGAGAAGAGTGAGACTTGATAGTTGATTGGTTCAGGGGACAAAGAAGAATGATGACTTCAGGAAAACTATGTTTGAGTAGAACATACCTCCATAACCTAAAATGAGAAACACAGAAAGGATAGGATCTTTTGGAGGAATAAGGGTAAAAGGAAGAGATAATGAGTTCAGTTTTAGTACAAGGAAAGATTCAGTATAGCAGTTAGAGCATGTAGTTAAGAATCAGACTTGCTGGTGTCTAATCTGAGCTTTGCATCCTACTTATCTGTATCATACAAATGTCATTTAATTTTCACATACCTTACTTTCTCATCTATAAAATGAGAATATTATCACTATCTCTAAGGAAATTGCTGTGACATTTAAATGAGATAGCATAGGTGGAACATTTAGAATATGGTTTGGCACACGGGTCACAAATGCTATTTTTCCATATTGTTTTTGTGATGCATGTAAGATATCTAGTTATGTACTTGGATAATAGGTTTGAAAAGGGAAATCAGCAGGAACTGGACTTACACGTTTGGAGATTTCCTGGAACATACTTGGATATAAAAAGCAGAGAAGCAACTGAGATTGTTAACGGAGAAAATAAAACAAATATGCACGTCTGTGAGCATCATTACATGTATGTATATATGCACAGACATACGGACAGGACAACGTAAAATGATAATAGAAGAGGACCACTGATAGAAAATGGAGAACAAAATACCTGAGAATCAGAAGAGAAGAAACATAATAAAAAGGACAGCAGAAGAACACTTACAAGTAGTCCGAGAGCAAGAAGAGAACCATGCCTACAAAGGCAAAGGAAGGTAACACTTTGACAAAGGGAATGATCAGTAGTGCGAAGTGATCAAGATGGGGAAGAAGTCACTAGACTTTTAAAGTAGAAGATCCTTGGAGACCTTATTGAGAGCTGTGAGAAAGCTGGGTTGAGAAAAATGCAGCAGAAAACAAGTAAAGGTTATTCTTTTAGAGATATAACTTCACAGTGAAAAGGGGAGATGAGAGATTAGTTAGAAGCACAAGTCAGAGGAAAAGAAGGCTTTGTAATATGTGGGAATGGAGAAAGCAACCAAGCTAAAAAGAAGTCAGTGAAGAGACAGAATATCAAGATATACGGTTTATCTTCTGCCTATTTCGTGAACTACTACTTTAAAGCTGAACTGGAAAAAAATCAGAAGTTAACACCGATCTTAAAATAAAAAGGGGGCTGGGAAATTATATAATTGTTATTTATAAATATTATTAGTCTGGTATTTTAATAGAATTACTTCCTGAGACTATTATAACATTTTGAGACGTCTCAGGATACTACTGAAATTGAAGTCATTCTGTTAAAATACAACAGTATTCACCTTTCTTAAACAATAGGTTTAAACTTTTGTTTTTTATTTCTGTTCCCTAAATATATACTTTTGCACTTTTAGAGAATATTTTTCATTCACAGTAAATACTCCAATAAACCACTTCACAATTCTTGTGTAGGTAATAGGTTCTGTATATAACAAATTTGTAATTTTTGTAGCTCATTAAGGTAGGAAATGTCAGGCAGTAGCTTGCATATGTTTACATCTACAAGCAATATTCAACAATTTCTTGAGTAGTTAACAAGATGTCCATAATATTAGCTTTTAAAAATTACATTTGACTTAAAAGCATATCATGAAAGTTCATATTATAATTTTGTCACACTACATATGATCTTTATAGAAGGCAGTTCACCTGTCTGATAGAGTCTCAAACTGGTGAGAAAAGATACCAATATTTCATAATAAGCAAGTAAAAAATTGTGTTAGTTTTATATCAAATAAGAAATTTTAATATCTCAACACTCAATACTGAACCATTTGATAAAATTAAATTGGAAACCATGTTCTCTCTTGCATGACCACATGAGGAATTTTAAAAATCTTTCAGAGAGTGTTTTCCACGTTGCATTAAAGGGCATACACTGTCTACAAGAAAGAGATCATGAGCAGAGATCAGAAACACCAGGTATCAAATTCTGATCCTTACAAGCTGAGGCACTTTCCACAAGTTAATTAAACTCATTCAGCCTATATATCTCATAAGCAAAATGGAGATGATAATAACACCTATAAAGCTGAGTTGGATAATTAAATCAAATGACATATGCAAATTAAGATGTTTAATTTACCAAATATTATAAATACAGGCACTAAACATGAGTTTAATTTACTCAATATTTTAATTCGCCAAATATTATAAACACAAGGAATAAAAATGAGTTTAATTTGCCAAATATTATAATTTCCCAAATATAAATATAGGCAATAAATATGAGTTTCCATCCCTCAAGAACAAAGCTATTTTTCATGAAATGGGTCATTCCCTTTAACCACCTAAGAAAAGACAGCAGGTTTCTTGTTTGCTTTCTCTTAATAAAACAGGTTTATTAACCCAAATATCTGTATACCACACAATTTACAAATTTGTTGTTTTGTTATTTTCTGAGGAAATACTTTGCCTGGGTCTACAGAAGGCTATCAGATGTACCCTGAAATAGGGTTGCACTTCAGTCACCTTTATCTTGGTAAGTCAGACCTATGAATATTGACTGAATGTCACAAAGAGAGACAAATATCTTTTTCTTGAATTTCTTCAAAAAGCCCACAGAGTTCACCAACATCTGTTAGGATAATAGCACTGACTCAATTGCGTTCCCTTTGGCCCTGGTTTATTACATTAATTAGTAAATTATGAGATCAGTGACAACCACAAGGGCCATTATTCATACTAATTCAGTAATATTTTCCTAATTTTAAACGATAAAACTTCCAGCAACAGGAGGAATTTTATTTTTACATTCCTTTGTATTTAAATGCCAGGGAAAATGGAGTAGGATGTCATACAAAATGAGTACTCTAAATATAATTCTAGATTCAATTTAAGACAAAATTAACTGACCTGTAATTGCAAGGCTTCGTGATTTTCTAATCCTTCCACAATTGGTGAAAATCGTTCCCTGTTATTTCTTTCTGCTGCAGTAGTTATAGCTCCTAAAAGTTTATCCAGACTGCAGAGAAAAAGAAGGGGTAAAAAAGAAGAAACAGAATGTGAATCACTTCTCACACACACACACACACACACACACACACACACACACTCACGCTATTAGTATGGATTATTCCCTCACTCTTACCTGTTTATTTTTTGGTGTTGATGTTTATATAGACCACTATAATTTTTAAAATTATTATTCAATGGTTTTAATTGACAAATCTGTATAGGTATATGGAGAACAATGTAAAATTTTGGGATATGCATATATTGTGAAATGGTGAAATCAAGGTAAATGACACATGTACTATGTCACATATATATCTTTTTGTATGTGGTACACAAAATCTACTCTCTAAGCTAATGTCAGGTACACATTATGTTGTTATTAACTATAAGCACCATAATATAAATAGCTCTCTTGAAAAAAGTCCTTCTATCTTGAAAAAATTACAATTATTATAACTGTGTTCCTGTGAACATATTTCTAAATGCAAATATTGATAATTTTAAATAATTTAAAAATTCAAATACAAAAATCTTGAGGAAAATAATTTTTCTGGAAAACAGTCTGAGAAGCACATTTGATTAGATAACAATAAATTTAAATTTCAGGGTTTTAAAATTTCACGTGTTAATAAAGATATTAATATAATTTAAACACTAAGTGCTAGAAAGAATTATGGAATAAGAATGTGGAACTTTCTTAGAAAGAAATTTCAGGTAATTAAAGACATCTCTATATAGCACAAGAAATTTTTTATTTTAAAGATAAAAGAACAAAAACGTAACAGACACACAGACATTTACAAAATAACACAAAACCAATATAAGCAATACATACTGTCAGTCAAGGTGATAGGAAATTAACAACGGTGGTTGGATTACATATTCATATGCTCAAATTGGTTACTCAGATAAACAAATGTAGGCATGCAAGACTGATCAAACAGTTAAATATTCACTGTTCCTTTCAATAAAGTAATAGAAATCAGTAGTACAACTATCATAGCTATCCTGTACCTATATACCTATACCTATACACATATTTTCCCTATATACCTATACCTATATACATATTTTTACCTATACATATTTTTACCTATACCTATACATATAGGTATACCTATATACCTATATACATATTTTCCCTTCTTTCTTTCTTTTCTCTTTTCCCTCATCCCAGTTGTTCCTTCCTTTGAGCAATTTCTTTCCCTTTCATAATATATATTGTACTTTTTTTTTTTTTTTTTGGTTTTTCTCCGGTACCGGGAACCAAACTCACGACCTTGCGCTTGCCAGGCAGGCGCTTTGCCGCTGAGCTAAATCCCCAGCCCGATATTGTACTTTTTTGATTTTATTCACTCTTTCAGGTTCATACACTGGTGAGACAATATGGTGTTTACATATGCACCCCAAAGAGAATGGCTATCATCAAGAAATCAACCAATAACAAATGCTGCAGGAGCTGTGGGGAAAAAGGAAAGCTTTTCCACTGTTCGTGGGAGTGTCGACTGGTAAAACCACTGTGGAAATCAGTTTGGAGATTCCTCAGAAAACTAGGACTAGAGGTCCCATTCAACCCAGCTACTTCCCTTCTTAGTATTTTTCCAGAAGAACTGAAAACATCATATCACAGCAATATATGTGCACCCATGTTTATAGCAGCAAAATTTGTAATAGCTAAATCATGGAAATAACCCAAATGCTTACAACTGAGGAATGGATAAAAAAGTTCTGGTATTTTTACTTAATGGAATATTACTTGGCTATAAAGAAAGATAAACTCGGGGCTTTTATAGGTAAATAGTTACAACTAGAGACCATACCCATAAGTGAAAGAAATTTACCTTTAAAAAGTATTGGTAATTATCACTATACAATGTTAACATAAAACTAACCTCCCTCTATGTAATTTTCTACTTCTTAAAAAAATTTTATTAGTACATGTGTGCAATACATAATGATTACATCTGTTGTGGGGAATTGGTATATGTACATAACACATCTCAATGTTTTCTTCTTCCTCTCCATCACTATTTAATTTTTTTATAGTCTGCTGCTTTTATCAAATGACATCTGAAATGACAATTGAATTATAATAAATATATCAGCCTAGATTGTATTTTCTGAATTAAATATTGAAAAGCTGAATGACAAGGAAGATGTTTCTTATTCATGAACGGGTCTTTCCCTTATGCCTATAAACATCTTACTTTCACATATGTAACCTCATTTATTCTTATTAAGAAAAAAAGTTACAGAAAATATTTTTGTATAATGTTTGTCTCTTGACCTTTAAGTACAGTAGCTAGCACTAAGCAACATTCTGTTTTATTGCAACAGTTATGAGAAAAATAACATCTTAAAACTTTCCTAAATCTTTGCATGGCCGTTTGGATTTAAATTTAAAGTATTATTGTCACATAAAATGTTCAAAAGAAATATTTTAGTTCATGTCCTTAGCACATGTCATTTTTATCAGTTGTTTCCTATAAACTGGACTCATTAATAACATCAAACTAAAATTCTACTTCTGATTCACTATTATTTCCCTAAGATATGATCCAATGCATGTTCGACAACACTTGTGTCTTTGGAATACACACACTGAATAAATATCAACAACCTATTATTTGTATGCCTTTCTGAGATGTTAGGTTATTGCATGCTACAGATAATTCCTCATTTCAGTTTTCATAGGCAGGCAAACACATTCTGTTACAAGTAAGAGCACTAAATAAAGGCATTTAATCAACTCAAAGAAGTAAAAATTGCCTGATATGCAGTACAGAATATGTGTGTATATATATATGTATTTGTCAAAATAGCTGACCTTTCCCACTTTTCTAATGATTGTTTTACCTTTAGCAACACAAAATTCTATTAATTTATTTTGAACTCATCTTTGAGGAATTTCCCATCAAAAGTCTATTAGTTTAAACTAGTTGCCATAATATCAACAAAATGCCAAAATACAAATAGACAAGATAAAAATGTCATTCAATAATTTTCTAAGCTCTATTACTGTTTTCTTGCAATTTATCTAATGAAACAGAACAAAAGACTAATTTCAAGTGTCATTTTCTATGGCATAAATATAATATAGCAATACTTACATGTTCTCTTCTCCAACAATGCAAATAGCAGAAAGTATTTTTACTATCTCAGTCATCATGTTGGGTTGTTTGGGATCAATTGCTCTTGCCAGTAGTAAAAGACTTCTTTCATCTCCTAGAATCCTTTGCAATCCAAACTAAAGGAAAAAAACTTCATCAAAATTAAAATGTCTATGGAACATATCTGTAAGTTTTTAAAAAAGCAAACTAAAATTATTTTCAAAAAAACCCTATGTCTATACTGAGGTTCTACCTGAAATATGTACATGCTTTTCAAATTTAATTAATTCTTAAAAATTAGTTTTCCTGCTTTTTATTGAAACTGACTACATCTTGGAGTTTTTGTCCCTTGGTCAGATATGGTCTCCGTTAGTCTACTCTACAATTTCCACAAAAATTTGAGAGAAATATGCAAATAATCAGTACTTCTTCAACAAAGAAGAACATATAAAACATATACTAATATGAATTTCTAATACAATTCTGTGCCATTGACTGTTCCTGCTGAAATCTGAAATTTATACTTAAATTATCCAATAAGTTTGCATGTGAAATTAAAGTGAACTAAAAAGTTAAATATGTAGTTATATACTATACGCCCATTAAGCAACAAATCAACCTTGGTATAGATTTTCCACACCTTCTTGTTCCTACCCTCCCCCTGTCTACAAAGGCTATGAATCCAAAGATATGAGACCTGGGTTTACTAAGTGTCACAGTCAATAGGCAGAGAAGACACCATTTTCATTTGTTTTCTAGGCATGAACCAATATGTTTATGTAAACACACACACACACACACACACATACACATTTTAACAAATAGAGACTACATAAGATGCTAAAAAGGCTTAAAACTTGGGTTTTTCTTATACTGAGGAAGGGAATGTTTTCTTTCATCTAAGTCCCACAAGATATTTCGTACATTTCTCATGAAATACGGTTGTTTCACTTTACAGCCTATTGGTGAAATCTGACAACATTTCATCAGAACGAAATTATCATTTCATGCTAACCTGTAGTTAAGTATCAAACATATGAACAATAGCATGGTTCTTAATTTAACTTGTAAAGGAATTTGGGGGAGGGAATCACTGCTAAAACTCCTAAGTGTGACATTTTTCAGGTAAAAAGAATTATTACTACTTAGTGACATAACAGCTTTTAATAACTTTGAACATTATTTCTCTAACAATTTTTCAGTAGCAGTGTCTAAGAAATACAATACTTAAGGTTAATATAAAATCACCTGATAGAATTACTGTAAGACGCTACTTTGCCAGCAAGGGCTAGCACCTGTCTTAGTTCATTTTGCCTTCCTTTGTGCATAAAACAAAATAACACAAAACAAAAAATCACCTAGAAGGTGAGTCAGGTGACTGTCTTTGTGAGCTATCTGATACAGATGGTGGCAAAAGATGAAGTGAACAGAATGGCATATTTAAAAAGCCAAGCCCAACAGAATGTTTCCACTGCTATGATCCAGCGGAATGCAAATTAGGAATAGGATAGAATTTGGAAATCCAGTTCTGTGTTGACAGGTTAAGGAATTCCAACTCCCAATCATTTTAAAGAACATATCCTGCTCCTGTAGTTTCCTGGCAAACTCTTCTTCTAGTGTCTTTTTCCGAAATGTGACTTTAACATGGATTTTAACAAAGAAGGAAACATGTGGAGACAAGAACAGATGAAAATGGACTGGAAAGAAGCGAAGAAAACAAAAGGGGTATGTATGTGTTAGAGTCTGTGTCTGCATGTCCCCCCACATCGGCATGTAGTCATGGGGCGGGCTTCTGGAGTTTTGATTGATCCATAGTCCAGTGTTGGGATTATGGCTGTGAGTGCTACACCTGCCCCAGGGGCGGGTAGTTTGCTTATAATGTAAGGGAAGGAAAGAGGCTGCTTGCTGCTGCTCCCCTCTTTTGCTGTTGTTGCTTTTCTCTTTTCCACCGCCATGAACTGTTTCCCTCTGCCATGTGCCACTCTGCCTTGGAGCCAGCCAACTATGGACTGAAATCTCCAGGAACTGTAAGCTAAATAAACCTTTCCTTCCTTAATTTTGGGTGTTGGGTATTTTGTCTCAGCGATGAGAGAAAAGTAACCAAGACAGTATGTATGAAGGTGGCTAGTACGTAATAAAAAGCAAGAAATATAAATAAAAAGAACATGTGTATTTTTAAAAGCATGTGTGTAAATCTGAGAGGTAGATTACTACCACATGACTACAGAATGTAAAATAACAGTTTTAGAAGTCAATTAGAATGACAGTGGAAAAATTTTTTTAAGATTTTATTAATAATAGACTCAAATATGTAGGGATATACTGGATATAAAAATAAAGACATGAAAAATATACCTGAAAAATCATTCAATCCAAATGTCTGGGCAATTTTATGGTAGTGGAAGTTAAGGAACAATGACTTGCTTTTCATGAACCTAGTATTCCATATACTACATACAGGGAAAGAGCTTCTAAAGTAAGTAATCTAAACTTCTTGGGGCTACACAACAATTGCTCTTTAGGTCATTCCAGATGAAATTTTACTTTCTAGATTTGGACAACTTATTCTAACATGAGATGAATATTTCACTGTACATTTTCTATCCTGGATACATAGTTATGCTTATTGTTTCAAATGCCTATAAATTAAAATATCAATTTATTCATATTCTGAGGACCTATATGTAAGACATAAACATGACCTAACTAAAATTTAACCTTAGCTTAGGTTAATCACAGAAAAATCATCAGTTCTTCAAAACTGACAAACTCTTAAGAAAAGAAATGTGTTGATACATCAAAGAATATCCTGTAGGAAAGGATTCTATAAGAAATTTTGGTAATATACATTTCTCTAGTGACTATCCTGATTATAATTAGTTGATCTCCTAGAAAACTGCAGAAGTTAGTAACACAAGTCAATAAGAGTGTAAAACAAAGAGTCTTAAAATCCAATTTATAAAGAAGGACACAGAGAAGTCAAGCTATTTTCCCAAGGCAGCCTATTAGTGGCAAAGTGTGAACTATGTCTCTTGATTTCTCTGTTTTCTTTCCATTCTGTCATTCTTTCCCTCAATTGAAGAAAGATATCCATCCTGAGCTATTGAGAAGCACTGCATAGTAAGTGCTTTCTTGCTAGGCATCAGATCCTGTATAATTTGTATCCAATGACTAAGAGCACAGAAGTTGAGAAACTCTGTACTAGTATCAATGTTTCTATTGAAAAGATCCAGAAATACAACTATAGATATATTCTATTCAGGAGTCTACTAGCAATCATCCATGGCATGTGTCAATGTTCTTTGCTGATACAGGTATGTACCTTATAAATATAGTGATAATTCCATATGCATAAGAAAGACTGCACATTACTTACAGAATCATTGTATGAATTGTAACATTACTGCAATAGCTATAAATGTCACATACGGTACGTTTCTTATTATTGTTATAATCATTTATTTCTATTAAGTTATAATTATTTAGTTCCATTAAGTATTTTAAGATTATTAAAACACCATCTAGGTAATTACATAATTAAGTGAATTATAGTTACATAGAGCAGATAACTTTTTTTTTTTTTTTTTTGGTTTTTCTCCGGTACCGGGAACCAAACTCACGACCTCGCGCTTGCCAGGCAGGTGCGTTGCCGCTGAGCTAAATCCCCAGCCCCAGAGCAGATAACTTCTAAATCAATAACAAAAATATTCCAAAATTCATATATTTCTTCCTAGTGTTATACATACACCAAAACTAAAATCCCTGCTATCTTCCAGAGATATCACCAATGTATGTGAACACACCATTTATTGAATATAAAAGAAATATTCTAACCTTACAATAATCTTAGCAAATATTTCAAACCTTACCCTTTCATTTTTCTTTGCAACAGAATAAAAAGTATAGAAATCACATTCAGTGTATGACATTTAAATTTTCCGACTACTATAAAAGGAAAATAAGCATTACCTAATTTGGTAACAAGGTGAATATGTTTGCACGACTGAAATGTCTAGCAATAAATATTGTGCAAAGCAAAGTATATTTTAAATAATATTCAAATAAAATGTATGAGTATTTGCATCATAAAAGCGCTTTTGTAAACTGAATACACATCTACTATTTTGTCTGTTTCATACTTTTACACTGTCAGGCAAGCTCTCCCCTTTACTAGCAGAGGCATAAATAAATATTACTCACCTTATTATTCATAAATGCTTTGAGGCACTGAATTAGTTTATATTGATTCTTCTTGTCGATATTTTCTTGCCTAAGTAAGAAAAAACAATCATATCACGTCATGCTTAAAAATTTTCTCCTTTGGCAAATTTTTCTAAATGTTTATTCTTACTGTTTTTTGTCCAGGAGCTTTTCCAGCACATCCAGTAACAGTCCAAGACCTTCATGGCCAAAGTTGTTAACCCAGCTAAATGAAAAAAGAAGGTGTAAATAAGTTCATATATTTAAAACATTATTCAAAATGAAATTTTGTTTTTTAATTCTGAAAATCTTGTTTTAATATTTCATTTTTTTTTCTATTCTCCTTGATTTGATTCAAGTTCAGACTCTGAGGATGACTCAGAAATCTTCACCTGAAACTCAGAACTCTCTTCGTATTTTTGATCATTCATACAGCACTGCCTTGGTTGTTTCATCCACATCATATGCTTAGGCCTAAATTTATGAGCTGAATTTATCTTCCCTTGTTTTCACTCCCCTAAGTCAATTCTTCCTCCATTCTTACTGATTTTGTTAATACTATTGTTATATTTTGAATCCTTCAGATTTCCAATATAGCATAAATTTTTGATTCTCTTTCACCTTTCCATTTATTCTATTCCTTTGTTCAACAAATATATTTTGGAAAAAAAAATATACATATGTTAACAATCATGTTTCAGGTAGCAGAGATGTAAGAGGCAACAAAACTAAACACTTATTCTCATGGAGCTTAACATCTAAAGTGAGGGAGACAGATGATTCACAGCAATATAATTAATGACAATATTTTGATGCAGTGAAGAAATACCTGAGAAATGGAATAAAAGGAGTACTAGGATGCCATTTTCAATGTTTGTTCAGTGAAAGATCTCTTGTAAAAGGTGATATTTCAGCAGAGCATGGTAGGAAATAAGGATTTCTCCAGTTGAAGAACTAAGGGTAAACTGAGTCCTGAAGTATTAGCTACTGTTTCGGAATGTTCAGGAACTGTCGGGAGAACAGTGTGTGAGAGGTGAGCAAGCAAGCATGGGAGACTGGCAGAAAATTAAATCCTATGTGTGGCAGAACCCTGAAAGACAAATCACAAAGCACTTGATCTGACTTTCTGCCATCTAGTCATGAATGTCCTGCTTCTAGCATGACTTCTCCAAATGACCCCTCTCTTTTTCACTGTCTATGCTGACAATTTAACCCAAATTACCTTCTTTAATATGTCTAGACACTCCCAAATGGGTTCTCGTCAGCCAAATTCTTTTATCTTATGCATTTTATAAAATGCCAGGTTAAATTACACTCAACAATAGACTTTTCTATAAAATGTTCCCTGGATTACTGAACACATTTAAATCCTGTGGCCCAACATTCTGATCTAACCTTAATGTACGTTTCAAGACATGGGCCAATAAATCAGAAGGATAATTCCTGGTGCCTTCTAAGAACTTCCTTATGTTACGTCATAAATTCTTTGAAAGAATTCCCAGAAGGAAATGCCAGCACTATCTCTCCAAGGCTTTCAGTCTCAACTTAGTCATTTTGAGTCATTAATATTTTTCCCCTGTAAATCTTCCAACCAAATACTAGTTACTGTCTCCTTCAATTCCCATGTGATCTTTATCTTCAACTATCTGACATCATGATTTATGCCACAGGTCTTACACACAAGTATGTATTATAAATTCTCTGAAGACAGTGTATTATCTCCATTCCTTTTTCTATCTCTAAGAACACTTAGCAGAGGGGCTTATAATAGCTAAATAAATATGTAGAGTCAATGCTAAAAAAATGTGCTAATTTCAATGTAATTAAATTTACTAGCTTGGGTGGCTAACAGCATAAGCTGCCTCACAATGCCCAAGAACTTCATACATACATATGTAGCAGAAGACTTTCTATGAAGCAGTCACTAAAATCTATACTGTTTCATGTGTGTGTGCATGTGCACATGCATGTGTGTATGTTTAGTACATGGAGCTGAAACCAGGTCTTCATGCATGCATGCTAGTCAAGTGCTATACCACTGAGATACATCCTAGCCCTTATACACTACACATTGAAACCTATTCAAACATAGTATTTGAAGACTGTTTCTATTCCACAGTCTTTACCTATTTCATACCTACCTAAGGGAAAGCTTATCACTATAGCAAAGACTACATCTCTAAGTGACTATCAGTAAGACTCCTCAGATCACTGAAGAAAATATCTGAAAAGATAACACATTCAAAACCAGTCACATCTACAATATATGTGGAAGCTCCTTTTAAACACATTCTATTTTAATTTCCATAATGGAAATGAGAAAAATCAATATCGCATTGTAATGATAATTGACAGTCAGCTACTATTCTATTGAGGCATGTAATCATACAGTGCAATGAGCTATTTTCTCTAAAGAGTCTTGATAATCAGTGCAGTGGGTGGTGGTAGAGGGATGGAGGGACATCAACTGTAAGTATAATATAGTGTATTTAATCTATCGCAGAGAAAATTCAATAGATATGATTATAACAAAATGTACTTTACAGCACCTCAACAGAAGAGGAATTCTGAAGAAATTTATATATTCAGCCCTCAATATCTGCTTTGGCATTTGGGAAGAAAAAATATATTTGTGATTTCTTTAACCCAATTTTTTCTTAAATCTGAATTTACTTAGATTTCCTTTGTGTCTAGTGCTATTCAAACTATTAGGATTATTTCTTTCTTGGTTTAGAGAATCATGTGCTATTAGATCATGATTTATATGTGTTTTATTGTTACCCACAGTTACCCACACTCAAACTGTTTCATCGTGCAGTTCATGGCACTTTGTTTTCATTCAGGGAAAGCTACTATTGTTCTTGGAGAAAATGGATACAATCATGAAATAGGTATAGGGAGGAGGGGCCTATTTAGTATACACAAGCCAGTGAAAAGCCTCAACTAAAAATATCTTAGGACACTGGTCAGAAGAGGCCTAGTAAAAGTTTTTTAGACTTTTCCAAATAGAACAGGAACTTATTGCTAAGGGGATAAGTATGATGTAGCATAATGACACTCAGGAGGGTGAAAGAAAGGCTGTGTAGCTAAACTGTACTTCTTCCTTCTTCTCTTGCCAGGACCATCGGTACCATTTCTCTGTCTTTCAGGCATCAAACACTGTGTGGCCTCTAGCCAAGTACTTAGTATTCACTGATTCATATTCTCTTCCCACTCCCATACACACACACACACACACACTAGAGTGGCCATGTGTGGAGCATTACTTGGATGACTCTCCTTGAAAGAAGAGCAGTTGTCTCCATTTAGGCTAAACCAAGCCCTATTTCCATGTACTGATATGAACAGAGATGGCTAGGACATTTCCTTAACCCCCACCCCCGCAATTGGCTTTGAGCAATGCAAATTGGTGTAGCCAGGTGGTGAGGTATAGTCTATAAAGCAAGGGGACAGGTCAGCGGTGCCCCGCCCTGTAGCTCCCAAGAAGCATGTGTGAGCCAGGTGGGAGGCAGAGCCACGCTGCATGCTGCCGGCTGGGATTAAGCCTCAAGAAAGAAGCTGTGACATCTCAGAGCATTAAAAAGATTACGTATCAGAGCTGAAGCATGGACCCCAAAACATCAGATACTGCCTGGAATTGTGTTACGTAGATTACACTTTCTGCACATCTCCCTCTCTGCATATCGCAGAGGACATTTCAGGCCTCCCACCTAGCCCAGCACACTGCGCTCACTTCCCACCACAGCTGCAGTCACTCATTCCGGAGCAACTCCCCTCTTGAAGAATTAATATAATGTGGGTTGGCCCTGGGTTATGGCCTTTGTTCCTGATTAGCCATCTTACTAGCTCTACTTAGGACACCCTTGGCTCCCCACAGCTACAAATATGTCTTAGTGTCTTTATTCTCACTATGGGTTGCACAGGAAATGGTAGATTGGAATTAACTTGCCAGAATTCCAATAACTTTTCCATGGAATTACAAATATAAACTTCCTAGTCCGCAACAAGGACCAAAACGGGCTCACAATAGGCATGAGATGATAAAGTTTAAAAAGCAAAATGTTGGATCCTGTATATGGGCAGGACTTACGACACTGCAACACGAGAAAAATAAATTAGTTCTCAAAGTATACACTCCAAACCAGCAACATCCACATCATTTGGGAATCTGCCAGAAATGCAAAGTATTGGCTTCTGCCCCAGAACTATTGTGTGATTAATAATTTGAGGAAGGAGGGAGCAAGTTGTTCTTTTAACTATTCTTGCTAGTGGTTCTAATGCTTGCTCACATTTCACAACTACTGTAGAATAAGACAATGGTTTGCAGAGCAGTAGAAGAAACTTTTCTTGGGCAGGACTCAGAGACATAACTAGAGATCACTTTATACACCCTCAAAACCATACCATTCATTCTCATTGCCATGGGACAGAGATAGGAATTGAAGTTGAAGCAGGTAAAAACTTGGTACATTTTAGAAACTATGCAAATTCCAGTTTTAAGTTATTCAGTACTAATTGGGACACCTAGAACCATAAGAATACACTTTAAGACTCAATTTCAAATCTGACTCAGGGATTGTAGATGAACAGAGATAGAGACATAATTATTTTCTGTAGTATCTCAGCCCTGAAATAAGAAGTTGAAATTCATCATGGACCTTAAATTTATGAGAGGTATAAACAGAGAATAATAAATAACCAAAAAGAAGAAAACACAAGGGAGAAAGATCTTCTATGATTTCCATAACCTCCCTGAAACACACATTTTCTTTCCTTTTTGCAGAGGTATGATTTACATACAGTACAATTCATCATTTTGATAAATTACAGTTATGTTACCACCCATACAAACAAGATATAGAATACTTCCATCACCCCAAAATACCCGTAGTTCCCTTATGCAGTCAATTTCCTTTCTACTCTCAATCCTATGGCAACTATTTATCTGGCTGATGTCCCTAGAGTTTTATTTTTTTCAGAGTACCATTGAAAGTAGAATTGTAGTCTGAAGCTTTTTTGTGGCAAGCATCATTCACTCAGCATAACACTCTAATATACAACCATTGAGTTGTATGTAGAAGTAATTCATTCCTTGGTATTATATGGATATACCACATTTTATCTGTGCATTAGTTGTTGCACATTCCATTTGTCTCCAGGTTGAAATGAGTGTGAATAAAAGTGCTATAAGTATTCACATGTAAACATTTGTGTAACCATCATTTT